ATATGGGTTGCCGTTTCTTGCTAATCCAGGAAGCTAACAGAAGAGCATCTTGTCAATGGAGCGAGGGGGACACCCGCGTTGGGTTTTAGTCCAAAATTTATAGGGAAGGCTACTAAGTGCTATATCTATTTCAAGAAAGTGGTGTCCATGTTCAACCACAGCAGAGCCAGCATTTTGAGTGTTAAATTATGACTCCAGAGACCTGGATTCGAATCCCTGCTTAGCCATGGAAATCCTTTGGGTGAGTCGCACTCTCTCAGCCTCAAAGGGCTGCAATGGTAGCGAATTATCCTAAATCTAGCAAATGAATTGAGAGCTAATGTAGTATATATAGTAGACTGAATGTTGACTAAGACTTTGGAAGAACAGCTTTCTAATTCTCATTCACAGAAACTCATTGGGCAAGTTACGCTCTCTCAGCCTCAGAGGAATTCAAACCCCTTCTGTGGAAAACAGTGCAAGAATCAAAGACAATAGGCTTGCCATCGGGCAGGCATGGACAAACTTCAGCCCTCCAGGTGTTTTGGACTTCAACTCCCACAATTCCTAACAGCCTCAGGCCCCTTCCTTTTCTTCTCATTTTCCACTTAAACAGCTGAGGGGGAAAAGGAAAGGGCTTGAAGCTGTTAGGAATTGTGGGAGTTGGAGTTCAAAACACCTGGAGGGCCAAAGTTTGCCCATGACTGCCTTAGGGTCAAAACTTGATGGCGCACAGCAAACATATTGTGCAAGTGCCAAGGAAGTAAACATATACCATGAACATTGCATGGATGGCAAGAAAGTAGTAGTAGTAGTAGTAGTAACAACAACCGCAGCAGCAGCAATAACAACAACACCTTATTTATATTCCACTCTATCTTTCAAAGGGGACTTAGAGCAGATTACAACATACACAGATAGGCAACCATTCAATGCCTTTAATATAGTGTAATAACAATGACATACAAATACACAGAACAAAAGGAAAGGCTTCCCTTTTCATCTCCAGCTTTCTAAAGGTGGTGCTAAACTCTGGCCATGGGGAGGTGCTCTTGTTCCATTTCCAAGCCAAGGAGCCTGTTGTCCGTAGACACCTCCCTGGTCATGTTGCCAGCATGGCTGCATGGGTACCTTTATTACCTTCCCGCCAAAGCAGCACCTATTGATCTCACATATGCATATTTTTGAACTGCTAGGTTGGCAGGAGCTAGGGCTAACAGTGGGAGCTCACCTTGACCTGTGGATTCGAACTGCCAACCTGTAGATCAGCAGATTCAACAGTTCAACAGATTAACCTGTGGCCCCAAAGTACCATATTTGTCAAATTCTAAGACACTACTGATTGTAATTTCAGTGCCACCAACAGAAAAATAAAGCTTGATTTACATATGCAAAAAAGCACCCATGACTCTAAGATGCACCCTGTTTTAGAGATGCACTTATGGAGGAGAAGAGTTTTAGAAGCAAGGCAATACAGTAATATACTTTTATTACTTCTGTGTGGGTTAAAGGAAAGTGAGAGGTTAATCCGCAACAGAGAGATAGATATAGATATATGGGTTCATTCTGCACCCAAACTAGGGGAAGATCATCCAAAGGAATTTGTGCCTGGAGGGCTGAAGCTCCATTAATACCTGGCCCACTTTGCTGCAATGCAGCGTTCCCGTCCCCGAGTTCCAGGGAAGGAAGGTGGCTTTTGTGCAAAAGGGGAAGGACACTTTGCAATGAAAATCCACCTCCAAAACCATGCTATATGTTTCCCTGCTTTCCTGAAAGCAACCAGCTGTCCCTGTCCTCGACCCTTGCTCCATAAAAAATTCATTGGTGCCAGATGGCCTCTCTTTGGAAGCAGTGCCAGGAAAGGTGCAAGACATGCAAAAGATGAATGGCGATGCTTTGCAATCTTGGCTCCCATTGGGGCCTCTACATTGCAGAATAGATGTAGTTCTACACCGCTTTAACTGCCTTGGCTCATTGCTATGGATCCTGGGAGTTATACTCCATAGTGGTGTCAAACTGCATGAATTCTCCCATGTAGGTACACTCTGGGAGAAAAGCAAGTATAGTAAAGATAAAGGTTTTCCCCTGACATTAAGTCCAGTCGTGTCTGACTCTGGAGGTTGGTGCTCATCTCCATTTCTAAGCCGAAGAGCCGGCATTGTCCATAGACACCTCCAAGGTCATGTGGTCAGCATGACTGTATGGAGCACCATTACCTTCCCGCTGGAGCAGTACCTATTGATCTACTCACATTTGGAGCTAACAGCGGGAACTCACGCCGCTCCCTGGATTTGAACCTGCAACCTTTCAATCAGCAAGTTCAGTAGCTCAGCACTTTAACCCACTGCACCACGAGGGGCTCACAAAGCAAGTATAACTAAATCTATTGTTGAAGGCTTTCATGGCCAGAATCACTGGGTTGTTGTGATTTTTCCAGACTGTATGACCATGTTCCAGAAGCATTCTCTCCTGACATTTTGCCTGCATCTATGGCAGGCATCCTCAGAGGCTGTGACCTCACAAACTCTGAGTATGCCTGCCATAGATGCAGGCAAAACGCCAAGAGAGAATACTTCTGGATCATGGTCATATAGCCCGGAAAAATCACAACCCTATAACTAAATCCATTAGATAAAAATAAAATTTGCATGTGGATTGGAAGGATGGGAAAAGGGAAATAAGGAGGGCAGACAAGGTGAAATGAAGGGGCATTTAAGGATAAATACTGTACATTGAAAGACCTCTGCAGTTGATATCACCACCGCCTTCATCGTTACGATTATTATTATTTCAGGGCAGATAAATGATGCGAAATGATCACAAAGAGAGATGACCTCAGAGAGCCACCCAGACTTCCTCCCAGAGTTCAGTTCAGCCCAGAAGCAATGGCTGCAATAAATGGAGGAGGACAAGACCCGACTGGGATGCAGCTGGGTGCATAAATCAGAGAGTTTGCCTCAATTCAGCTGCTTTCTGGAAGAAGGACAAACTCAGAGATGATGCAGAGGGTTCTTAAAAGAAGTCCTGGAAAGGATTTGGTGGGCACAACCCACCGTTCCATAAAACAAATGGGACTCTGATGGTGTTCTATAACTGTGGAATGGAATATTGAACTTTGGCTCAGAAAAACCAGGTTCGAATTTATGGCTTGGCTATGTAATCCCCCTGTGTTAGCCACACCTTCCCAGGGTCGAAAATGGCTTGACGGCACACAGCAACCAAGTCTCCAGATTGCATCTCCACTGCAGTGACAGGTTTGCTCCTAGGACAGGGCTGAGAGAAAGTGACATTTTCCAACTTCACTCCGTGGGTATCCAGGGCTGAGCAGGATTCGAGCCCGGGACATAAAGAAATAAAGAAGAAAAAGCAGGATTCGAGCACGGGACATAAAGAAATAAAGAAGAAAAAGCAGGAAAGAAGGATGGGAGGGAAGGAGGAAGGGGAGGGAGGGAAGAAGAAAAAGAAAGAAAGAAGAAAGGAATGAATGAAGAAAGGAAGTGAGGAGCAAAAGAAGGAAGGAATTGACCTTTGGGCAAAGAGGTCAGTCACTGAGTGTTTATTCTAACTGCTCATCTCTAAGCACAAGAAAATAAGAGGTATTTATTATTATTATTATTATTATTATTATTATTATTATTATTATTATTTACTTTATTTGTATACCGCTCTTCTCAGCCCTTAGGCGACTCAGAGTGGTTTACAACAATTTAGGTATACACAATACAAAATCATTAAGCATTTAAAAGCAATAGCATCACAAATCATTAAACATCAATATCAATACATCACTACATCAATATAACAAATCCATCAGGTCTCATCAATGAAATCAGAATCCAAACTCGTTATCCGATATTCCGTGTTCCGATAGTCAGTCAATCAATCACACTGCTTAGTCGAATGCCTGTTCAAACAGCCAGGTCTTTACTTTCCTCCCGAATGCCAGCAAGGAGGGGGTCGATCTAATATCTGCAGGAAGAGCATTCCACAGCCGAGGGGCCACCACTGAGAAGGCCTTGTCTCTTGTCCCCGCCAGGCGTGCTTGTGAAGTCGGTGGAATCGAGAGCAGGGCCTCCCCAGACGATCTTAATGTCCTAACTGGTTCATAGGAGGAGACGCGTTCAGACAGGTAGGTCGGGCCAGAACCGTTTAGGGCTTTAAAGGCTAAAGCCAGCACTTTGAATTGTGCCCGGTAGCAAATTGGCAGCCAGTGGAGCTGGCGCAGCAGTGGAGTGGTGTGCTCCCTGAGTGCTGCTCCTGTTAGCATCCTGGCTGCCGATCGTTGGACCATTTGAAGCTTCCGAGCAGTCTTCAGAGGCAAACCCATGTAGAGAGCATTGCAGTAGTCTAAACGGGATGTGACTAGAACATGGACTACCGTGGCCAAGTCAGGCTTCCCAAGGTATGGGCGCAGCTGGCGCACTAGTTTTAACTGTGCAAATGCTCCCCTGGTCACTGCTGAAACCTGGCTCAGCGATGAGTCCAAGATCACACCCAAGCTGCGAACCTGCGTCTTCAGGGGGAGTGTGACCCCGTCCAACACAGGCTGTAACCCTATACCCTGTTCGGCCTTGCGACTGACCAGGAGTACCTCTGTCTTGTCTGGATTCAATTTCAATTTGTTCGCCCTCATCCAGACCGTCACAGCGGCCAAGCACCGGTTCAGGACCTGAACAGCCTCCTTAGTAGTAGGTGGAAAGGAGTGACAGAGTTGGACATCATCTGCGTACAGATGACATCGTACCCCGAAACTCCGGATGATCTCTCCCAGCGGCTTCATGTAGATGTTAAACAAGATATCTGCAAAATCTGTTGAAATTATCCTCATTGCCTGGAGAAGTGAGAGAAATTCTAGCAGGACCAAACCAAATTGGCAAAAGGACAGGTGCAAGCTGTCAGAGTTATCCTTGTCAGTCCTAGGAATATGTTTAATTCTTGTTTTCGACAGCTCACAATGCGTGTGCAAACCCTTCATTTTATTGAAAGATCCATACATGAGGAACTGACCCCAGGCTACTTACGTCCGAAGCGGGGCCCTTGTCCGCACCGGGGCAGGTGAAAGTGACGAATTCATGGCAGCGCTTGTGCACCACGAAGCAACAAACTGCAAGGAGAGAAAGTTAACATTGGTTATTATTACAGGGTTGACACGAATGGGGAAGGGGGTGTCATTCATTCATTCAGAACATGGAAACCGCTTTCATGCAACTCCGGCCACTTTGCAGGACAGAGCATTGTTTTGCATTTCAGGTGGCTTTGCAAGGAATGACTCACTTGTTTTCTGGCGATCAGAAAACAAAGAGAAATGTGCTCTTAATTACTGTACGTTAATAGGATTACGTGCAGCTTTTGTGAGCCCTAATTGGAAGGCTGGTTATTCCCAAACCACAGCTAAAAAGTCTGTCAAATGGCATGAAACGGAAGGCAAATATGAATAAGTGCACAATGAGTAAGTTTTTAATACAATCACTTACTTTTGTAAAGAACTGTATTCAATGGATGTGGTTTTAGGTCCTACTGTGACATGCCTCCTAATGTGAGTGGAAGGAGGGATGGGAATGAACAAATTAAAAGTGATATTATTTTGAACTACTAGGTAATTAAGCCAAAATTAAAATTGTTGCTTGAGCTTTAGTATCAAGGTTTAAACAAGAAAATAGATACTGTAGATAGATATATAGACTCTTTGGAATGATAGATAACTTTGGGCCATGGTAGTTCAGTGGGTTAAACCGCTAGCTGCAGAAAAACTTGCTGACCAGAAGGTTGGCAGTTTGAAGCCACACATCAAGGTGAGCTTCCGCTGTCAGCCCTAGCTTCTGCCTACCTAGCAGTTCAAAAACATGTAATATGAGTAGATCAATAGGTACCGCCTCGGTGGGATGGTAAAACGCCAGCAAAACACGACTAGCAGGATCTATGGACAATAGGCTCCTCGGCATGGAAAATGGAACAAGAGCACCTCCCCATGGCCAGAGTTGAGCATCACCTCCAGATCCCAGAGATGGAAAGGGAAACCTTTGCCTTGTTTGTGTATTGTATGGCATTGTTCACTGTATAAAAGGCATTGAATGTTTGCCTATACACATGTATACTGTAATCCGCTCTGAGTCCCCTCGGGGAGACAGAGCAGAATATAAATAAAATGCATTATTATTATTATTATTATTATTATTATTATTATTATTATTAAGCATCAGGTTGGAGCCCCCGGTGGTTCAATGTGTTAAACCTTGTGCCGGCAGGACTGAAGACTGACAGGTCAAAGGTTCAAATCCAGGGAGAGGGCGGATGAGCTCCCTCTGTCGGTTCCAGCTCCCCATGAGAGAAGCCTCCCACAAGGATGGTAAAACATAAAAACATCCGAGCGTCCCCTGGGCAACATCCTAGCAGACGGCCAATTCTCTCACACCAGAAGTAACTTGCAGTTTCTCAAGTCACTCCTGACACACAAAAAAATCAGGTTGGAAAACATACCCCTTTCTACACCTTAAGAGGGAAGGAGGAAGCTAACAAAATTAATATATTGATTCACAGAGGAAATCTTTGCAAGTTGCAGCAATGGATGAATTAAACCTCTGAGACTGAGAGACGCACCTGCATTACCTGTTGGAAATGACTCAAAATAAAAGGAGATTTGGGACATGACCTTCCAGATTGGTTGCCAGTCAAAGGCAGTTCCAAAGCATCGCTTCCAAAGGCCTCCGGGGATTGATCATTCATCAGGAGCGTTTTGGCCTTTCCAGCGATCGATCGGAGCACAAATTGTTCTGTCCATAAAGCAGATCGTTGAGAATGGGAATTGTTTTGTTTGCAAATGGGATCATGTTGCATGGCTTGGCCTTCTGGCCCTTCTTTGCCAGCAGCCAGAGGGAGGTTGCAACGGTCAATGCAGCTCAGTTGAGCAAGAGGCCACAATGAAAGGGCTACCGAAATATTAAGATGGATAGGAAAGGGGCTGAATACAGACCATGACTTAGGGGCACATTGTAGCCTTTAGGTTTCCCCAAAAGGTCTTGGGACCTATCATCTGACTCCTGCACTTTTCTATCAGGCCTGTCCTTGCAGCTGTATTGCAAAAGTTCGGCTACTGGTTGTTGTTGATGGTTGATGTTTTGTATATGTATTTTTACTGTGTTTTTATTTTAATCTCTGTGTAACTGGGCTTGGTCCCCATGTAAGCCGTCCCAAGTCCCTTTGGAGAGATGGTGGCGGGATACAAAAATAAAGTTGTTGTTGTTGTTGTTGTTGTTATTGAGGAAACCATGGGTATTCCCTCTTGTAATTGGCTTGCCATTGCAACTTGTCTTCCTGGGAAATGCAGGAAAACATGTGAAAATATCCCCACTGCACCATTACATTCACATCAAAACTCCATGCTAAATCCTTTGAGATGTGTCTGGGAGGCTCTTTGGGGAAGGACCATAAAGGAAAACAGAGGCATTTAGTCTTTTTATGTGATAGAACTGGCCCCATACAATTGCCCATGGAGTTTGAATGGACTTAGCAGCCCTTGCTGTGATTCTATTTGGTGTTAAATCAGGCATGAGCCAACTTCGGCCCTCCAGGTGTTTTGGACTTCAACTCCCACCATTCCTAACAACCTCAGGCTCTTTCCTTTTCCCCTTCAGCCACTTAAGCTGTCCAAAACACCTGGAGGGCCGAAGTTGGCTCATGCTGTGTTAAAGTATTAAAAATAATACAAACGCTATTAGAAAATGTTCATTGGGGAGAGAGTCCAATGCATGCAAAATAAGCCAATGCTCCCCTGTCTTTCTCCTTCAATCCATGCCCAAATGGACACATTTGGCTGAAATGTTACTGCTTAGTACCAGAACCAAGACAGCAACAGGATATGAATCCACTCCGGATTTGATTCCTGATTAAGCTAGGAAACTCTACATCCATCCAGTCAATGCCCTTCTCCTCTTCAAAAGACCTCTGCATCACTCAAGAACGCCCCAAGGTTGACTCAATCAATCATCTGCAACCGTTACACCTTTCCAGGGACTGGAATTGGCCGGCAATTGGATGCCGCACAACAACAAGAACAACATGGAGAAACACAACAACAATATTTCAGCTACTTTGACTGTTCTTAAAAGAAACAACGATCAGCTGGTGGCAAATGCCAGCTGAGATTCTTCATCAGAAAGAAGGGCAAAACAAAAGCAAAAATGTAACTCACAAAAGGTTTCTCGTTCCAAACCTGTGAGGTTTTGCAACCCAATACAAGGGCACACTGATGCATAATGCACCCCATGCAACCAATTCACAATGTGCAACACAAAACACAAATGAGAAAGGATGCCCAATTGCAGCACAGGTAGAACTCTGCTTCCAACAGTGCAAGTCCTGAGCATGTATTTTCAATTGTATTTTAACTGTATGTTATCTTAACTGTATGTTACAGCAGCATTTCTCAACCTGGCGGTTGGGACCCCTGAAGGGGGTCGTGAGGGGATGTCAGAGGGGTCACCAAAGACCATCAGAAAACACAGTATTTTCTGTTGGTCATGGGGTTCTGTGCGGAAATTTGGTCCAATTCTATCGATGGGGTTCTGAATGCTCTTTGATTGCAGGTGAACTATAAATCCCAGCAACTACAACTCCCAAATATCAAGGTCTATTTTCCCCAAACTCCACCAGTGTTCACATTTGAGCATATTGAATAACCATTCCAAGTTTGGTCTAGATTCATCATTGTTTGAGTCCACAGTGCTCTCTGGATGTAGGTGAACTACAACTCCAAATGTCAAGGTCATTGTCCATTAAACATGGGAATTCTGTGTGCCAAATTTGGTTCAATTCCATTGTTGATGGAGTTCATAATGGTCTTTGATTGTAGGTGGACTATAAATCCCATCAGCTACAACTTCCAAATGACAAAATCAATCCCCCAACCCTACCAGTATTCAAATTTGGATGTATCTGGTGTTTGTGCCAAATTTGGTCCCGTGAATGAAAATACATCCTGCATATCAGCTATTTACATTATGATTCTCAACAGTACCAAAATGACAATTATGAAGTAGCAACGAAAATAATTTATGGTTAGGGGTCACCATAACATGAGGAACTGTATTAAGGGGTCACGGCATTAATAAGGTTGAGAACCACTGGGCCTAAGTATTGTACATTTCTCCCTTCCGAAACCCATTCTGTTCACTCTGGCCCAGCTCTCTCATCTGTGAAAGCTGTGCTCTGAACTGCTTCCTGTTGGCAAATGGCAACCAACCAACAATGGAAAACCGTCCTACCCAAGACAGCAGTGGCAGGTGCTTCCTTCGATGCTTCTTTCCAGAGCAAACATGAGCCTCCTGTGGGTGCCAATTGCCCACAACGGAAGGGGCATCTGCCATGTAAATGCATTTACAGAGAAATAAAGGGGCGAAAGACATAGCCCCAGCCCACCATTTCACATGTTTCTATCAATCTGCAAGTGATTTATCCCACTGTAAACGCCATGGCTCCATCCTGGGAAACTTTGGGATTTACAGCTGCTCTAAGCTGGAAAGAGAAGGATGGAGGTCTGTCTGGGATATGTAGCTTAGAGAGTTTGGGATCATTATCAGATCACTAGCAGATAACCCTTAACTCTCTTAAACTATAAATCCCAGGACCCCACCCGTCAATCTCCAAACTACAAATCCCATAATCACAGGTCACTTTCCAAACTCTTAATCCATAATCACACATGTCATTCTCCAAACTACAAATCCCATAACCACACATGTCCCTCTTCAAACTATAAACCACTTAGTCACACATGCCATTCTCTGAACTAAAAATCCCAGGGTCTCACATGTTGCTCTCCAAACTATAAATCACATCATCGCACATGTCATTCTCCAAACTATAAATCTCATAGTCGCACATGTCATTCTCTGAACTACAAATCCCAGGGTCCTGCATGTCACTCTCCAAACTATAAATTCCATAGTCACACATGCCATTATCTGAACAATTAATCCTAGGGCCCCAAACTACAAATTCCATAATCGCACATCACTCTCCAAACTATAAATTATATAGTCATTCATGTAATTCTCTGAACTACAAATCTCAGGGTCCCACATGTCATTCTCCAAACTATAAATCTCA